TAAAGTGCACCCTCTCTAATGAGATTAGTTTTTGTACTTCGTATCTCGCACAATGCGGTCGTTCGATTAAGGCTGAGATATGTTTGTTTAAGTGTCAAAATCTCAGCATCAGTTTTTTTAACAAATTTGAAATAATTCCTATGAAATATTATATTTCACAAGTGTCAATACTAGCAACGGAAAATATAATGTCGGCCGTTTTTATGTGTGATAACGGAAACTAAATCGAGGTAAGGCTAGGCCTAGCCTAGCAGCGCTGGATAGGCTAATGTTTTCGGCGCCTACGATATTTCTTCTCACGACCTCTCGCAAAATCAAAATGAAAAATTCATCCGCATTTATTTTTTGTGTGGAACACAAAAAATCAAATTTCAGTCTTATTTAGGAATATAAAATATTAGGAATGTCTAAATTCAGTTAAACTAGCAATTCCGTATTATATTTATAAATCTTTATAACATTATACAAAAATTAGATTTTTCTTAAAAACTGAAATTTTGCCGGGAATGGGGCTTTAAACTAAACACCTGAGAATCCAATGAAATTAAATTAACTAGCATAATTTTAAAGAATGAAGATGGGTCAAAGGTAAATGTATCTATTTTGCCTAACTTACCAATTAGCAATTTCTCGGTTGTCCTCCTCTGGAAGAGCCTTCAATATTCTTCACAGTTGCTATAGTTTTAATAGATCAGGTATAAGACTTTGCCCTCCTCGTACACTGCGTTGTCGCTACAGAAACTCATTTGTGCCAAATTCCATCCATATTTTTAATGTCGGTGTTAAAAGATAAATCGAAGTTTTACTTTTTAATCAATTTTAAAATTTTTTAACTTTTTAAAAATTTATTGTTTTAGACCAGTTTTTTGGTATGTTGCCTTGTATTTTTTATTGTTACTGTGTGTTCATATACGTTTCTTTTTAATTATTGTAATTTTTGAAATGCTGTACAGCCAAAATTTCTTTGTGTGTATTATGAAGACAAATAAAATTTCTTGAATCTTGAATCAAATTGTTTTTGTCTCGCTGTTTGCTACAGTAGGCATGGCCTTATCATCCAATCGTTTATTAGCGGGGCAGCTGCATTTTACCGTGACTACGAAATATGTACTGGTGGTAGGTGGCAGGGACTTAGCCAGGGATGTACGTTAAAACGATGGCCAGTACTTTCACATGCACGTAACCGTTTTGTAAATTACATCCCCGCTAGGCCCAAGAGGGGGTGCCAACGACTACATTGACAAGTGCATTATTATTGTGATTTTCAGCTACTGTAGAGGGTTTACATTTAAGTGAAACTTCAATGGAAAACTGTTTTTAAAACTCTTAAATCCTTGACTAGACTACAGTATTCAAATTTTATTTGACAGATATATATGGTCATGGTTTGATGTCATCATGACCATATTTAGGCATGCCACATTCAATATAGTACAACATTAGGAACAAAACTAGTGTAAAAATACTGTAGACGACCTTGACCTGAACAAATGTGATTTAGGGTATGTTCACACACACTGGCGTAAGCTAATCCACAAATATTCCAAAGTGTATAGTCCTTTGGGGGAATAGTTTTCAGTTTTATAAATAATGTATGTGCTCTTAACTGTAGTAGAATATTTACAGTGCATCATTAAAACTTTTAAATCTGTGAATTGTTCAAAGTGAAATTATATGATTCAGCCCTCAAAATTAACTTCGGCATTCAGCAGTGCCAGCGTCTAGGCACCCGTCGTCAGTGAGAAAATTGCCGACGTGCACTTTTCAAACACCAATTCAACAGAAACGTACTGCTACTTTTCACGAATAAAGTACACTAATTTTAAAAAAAACGGAACTTCTGAGTTAATCCCTTACACACATGTAGCTGTTCTGTCTGTATTCTCCGTTGATTTTAGTGAAAATGAAAGACGATCCCCAACTCACACGTTCTGCAGTGCGTCGCCAACATCTCCTATAAAGAACAGCAACAAGTCGAGCGTGTTCGTCGTCACCAGAGTTTGCTATCCTTTTGACTGTGGTGGCTTTTATTTTATTTAGGGATAAATATGCCCAGAGTATTTTAGTTTTAATTCATTTTCACAAAAGTAACATGTAAACATATTTCAGCATCCATGGTTAGTGCTTATTTTTTATCACTGCGGCTAGCCTAGGTCTACCTAGAACTTTAGAGCACTCTGGGGATCCAATGGTCCATGTAGGCGCGCGTAGGCTAGTACTTTATAGTACTAGCCTAGGTTTAGGCCTAGTACTTGACAACTTTTTGAAAATGCCGACGTAGGACCGGCGTCAATATTTTAACGTCGGCGATTTTTTGCCGGCGTGCTTTATACCTAATTTTGAGGGCTGTATGATTCCTATATTTTAAATGAACAATTTTACTTCTGCTTTTCAGCTAGCATTGTGGAACAATTGTTGGTATTGCAGGTTTTAATAGACAGTATAAATACGTTAAAATATCTTACAAAACACAATCAACAAATCATAGTTCATATAAATTGTAAACTAAGTAAAAAGCAATAGAAAAATAACCCCTTTTACCATTTCATTAGAGAGCACAGGAAAGGGATCAAAGAAACTAATCTATTGCAATCATGATTGGTCAGTCTCTTGAAATGAGGTCAAATCATAAAGCATCACTGCATCAATTATATCTTATTTTCTTTATTTGAGGTGAATGAGATTTTAATATAAATTTATTGGTGAATGTAACAATGACATAGTATGGGATTGATAAATGCTTCAAATGTTTTAATTTGAGTAGGAAGAAATAAATATTATTATTTTGGGAGATTTTGAAAGCAGTGAGCGTAATAAAAATAAATAGAGCATTTTATATTTCCTTTCATTTCATGGCACTGCAGCGGGGCACTAACTGGCCAAAATAAAATTTAATTTTTATTCAAAATCCTCTTTATTACCACTACTAGAGTTTCTCAAAGCAAAAATGTTGCCAACAAAGTGAGTAGGAGAGTAATAGATTTAATTACTGGTTCTCAAAGTTAATGATATTTTTTTTTATGAATACCAATTGGCAACTGTAGAAATCCTCAGCCTTTGCAGAGATCTGGTTTAGTATTAATACTGTTGTTAAAATAATAGTTGTTTTAGCTCAAATGGCAACACAATTTAATTCAGTTCAATATTATTGATTAGCCACATGAGCCATTAAAGAGCAATTATTCATCACACAAAAGAAATGTTTAAATAATTGGTATTGTAATCTCACTTGGATTAATAAATTTCCAATATGGCTCAAAACTTATTCACAAATGAACCAAAGTACTTAACACTCTCAGTTTTGGTAACCTGTCAGATTGGCTTCTTTGATATAATATTCTTACTTATTGCAATTAGCCTGGTACACTGTAATAAGGATGTTAATTAGTATACTTGATATCATTACAGTAAATGTAAATTTTTCAATTCCCACTTGTTGTATTGTACATGTTCAGAGACTCCCCTATCAAAAAGTGTTTTGCTGGAATGGAAGTTAGAGTAGAAGTTTGTACCACATGGAGACTTTAACATCTTTTTTTCCCTTTTTCTTTTTCTTTTTTTTTCGTTTTAAGTGGATGAAATGCCCGTATTAGTTGAATATTGTGTTTAAAATAACCTAACAATTACTGTATGATGAATTACAGCTTAGAGTACAGTAAATACTTAATTATTACATGGGATTGAAAATTAACATTAATTTATGAAGATTCATGATGTGTTACTGGAAATAAAATTATTTTAATCTTAATTTTTACAAATACTTTACTACTATAATACTACTGTACTGTATATTAATTGTTCCACCTGAAAGTATCTTTTGGCCAAGGTTTTTAAATCATGAGATACTTTTTTAATATATTAAATTTTAATTTATCATTCAGTGTTTTTCTAATATTTTGTACTGATTAAATGTCTTCATGTTAAGTTTGAAATTAAAGAAAATTAGTCTAAATAGGACTGCAAAGCCTTTATTTTTCTTTTTTGGCTGCCCTGTACCATAGCAAACAGTTTGTTTTAAATGTATGTTAACAATTTCTATGCAGAGATATTAAGGCCTGTAGATAACTCAATATTGGATGTTTCATTTGCTTAATTTATTGATTACTGCATGGAAACCATATGTACAGTAACCATGAATAATTTGTTTATGATACTCTGATTACTGCTGATTTGTTTTCTGCAGTAGGTGTAACTTATCTGTATTAATGCTTTGGTCCACTTTTACGTATTTGTATTAAGGTTGTTAGCATGTACTCTTTACATACTTGTACAGTACAAGTCCAGGCACAAAACGATTTGGTAGTTATGGTACCCTACAGTACAAATATTGCTAACGACTTGGTCTTTCATTATGTATGCTATAACTGTTATTGTTGAATATAGTTACTGTGGTAAGCATTTCATGTTTATTTGTTAGTATTCTACGGTACTGTATGGTTATTAACAGACTGTGGAGTGGTTCAGTTCATGCTATCTTTCAGCAAGCATGATGATTTATTTACAAATGAAATAATCATTAAGATAATAAAAGTAATCCTTATCTAGAAATGGCTCCGGCAAGACTTTTTTTATAACTTGCCTTAGCGAACCTGCTAATTTTGAATAAAAATACAATTTTATGTTTGGCAAATTAGCGCACCTGCCGCAACGAAAAAGTGGAAATTTCAGAAAAAAAGAAGTTTTCTTTATTTTATTATGCCCTCCACTGCCTTGAATCTCAGAAGATAAGATATGTAATTTTCTTCCTAATTACAGTATATAACTTTGAAGCATTCACAGTAACCATCCTATTTTACATTCACCAATAAAATTATATTTTTATATTTTCCTCCGTCTGGATGATTGTGGCAAAACTGTTTGCTAAATAAGAAAACTAAATTTTGCTTTCATTTTTATTCCGCCCTTCTCTGATAATCTTAAAAAATATACGTATGCATAACAAGGAATAACAACAGTCTCGCCTTCCATATCAAATTAGATTTTTTTCTTTTATATCTTAGTTATGCCGCTAAAATTATAGATGGCAAAGCTGTTGCAGAACAGGTAACTCAGGAAGTAAAAGAAGATGTTGATAAGTGGGTTGCTAAGGGCAACCGACAACCCCACCTTAGTGTGATTTTAGTTGGAGATGATCCCGCAAGTAAAACGTATGTTAGGAACAAAACAAGAACAGCAGATAAAGTCGGTAAGTAAACAATGTTATGTGAATTATACATTTTTTTAGCTTTATTTCCCTGTTTGTATGTACAGTACCTACTGTACTGTATGAGTGAGACAAAAAGAAATTAAAATTTGTAATAGTACTTCTATGGATAGATGTAATTTTTCCCTTTCTGACGTGGATATGTGCTGTGAAAACAATTGCGAAAAAAATTTCAGAAAAAAAATTAAAGTTTATCGGACAAGGGCGGAATCTGAGAACAACTTGCGATATTTTTTGCAATTGTTTTCACACATACTGAGTATTCAGTACATTTCCACATTAGGTAGAGCAAACTACACCTATACTTGATTCTCCTGACACAAATCCAGTTCGGCAGAAATGGGTTTGGAAAAACTGTGGTATTACAAACGCGTATAGTAAAGCGATCATCTAATTATCGTGCCTCATGAATATTTATAAGCTAAGCCAATATTTCGGAGACGCGTCCGAACGGGGTTGTGCCATTTAACGTGTTTGCCATTGTTTCTATTGTTTTCCATGACAAATGCGTCTGTGTCATTGGACCAGGCCCCGGTTGCACTAGTGTTTTTCGTAGGTACAGTACAGTCGTGAAATATTGCACTTTTACCTGCGCGCAGGCTTCGTAGATACATCGTAGCCTGATATAAACAATCTAACCTGCGCGCAGGCTTCGAAGCCTGATATAATTTGTAGGCCCTAAGTTAAGAGGTAAATGATGATGACAACACATTATTGCCACTTGGTTTGTCAGACAGACCTATCTTCATTAGCAATAGCAGCCTACCTGCATCTCCTTGCACACATACATCACATGGGAACACAATTGGACGCCAGCATGTGCCAAACATTTATTAAACCATAGAGAAATTATAACATCTATTTTCTCTACATGATTAAACCTTGGCATAATATTATTCAATATCTAAGCCTAGACAACTACTGCACAATATTGGGTACCTCGTGTGTGGATATGATCAGTGCAGAATATGCAAGATCACATGTGACAAATTCGCTTTGTGTGCCGCTAAAAAAGTAGGTCAGTTCAGATGCTAACAGTAGGACGTTCGATGGAGTGCCTGGATGCCCGTTTAACTTGAAATTAAGTATAGATAGGCCTTGTCTGCTTACCTACAGTATCTCTTCTGTTATAGTTTTATTTTTTTAGTCTTGTTGGCCTACAGGTATGTTTAAATCTTGTTTTGTATTTTATATATTTTTATTCTTTATGCCTCTGTTCTGTTATGTGGAGAAGCTGTTTATGTGTTAAATAATAATAATATTACTGAGTTTTATTATGTTAATGTCGAAATATAAGTAAAATATACAACTGACACTCTGCAGACACATGGAATGTGGTACTTGGGCAAAAGGTACTTGTTTTGATAGCATAAATTCGAACATCGCACAGTGAAATCTGGGTGGGAAGGTGACTGGCGATTTCTTTTTCTTCTATAAAACCTACAGGTACGGTAGAACATACTAAAAAAATATGAGACATTGGGGTTTCCCAAACAAGTAAAATGAATAAATTATAGGGCCTTAACATTTCTTCGTGATCTGTCATCTAAAGTAGGCCTAGGCCTAGCACTTTACTGTAATAAGCTACTAATATCTAGCCTATAGCCCAGGTGGTTCAACAAGTCGGATCCATATTCCGCTGAACCCGTTTAACATCTACCATTCACGAGTAGTCAGCCATATGAAATTGGGAGGAGTCAACTTCCAAACGGAATAAACGGCTCGGACAAGCTTCCAAACGGCATTTCACATACGCATTTGAAGAGCTTGTCATATAAGAATAGCAAACGTTTCTGTCGTTGGGAATAATTTGTAGATCGCGCCTTATTGTCTATTCCATCACGACAATAACGATTACAGTACTACTTCTATGGAATAATCACAAAATAAGTGCCCTCTATGTTATTAAAAAAAAATTGTAGTGGAACTGCTATGGACAATCCTTGGTCGGTATAGCTTGTTTGATTGAAATTTGTATGACCTGTATTCACATACTGTATAATGATGAATTCACTTTTATGAATTTTAGGGTATAATCGGCTTATACAGTACATTTATTTTTTATAAACATTTTTATTGATGCGTGATATAATACTTGACAATGTAGGCGTGAGACGTAAAAAATGGATGCTCATGTGCATAATGCATGAGAGTTGGCAGGTGAACGTTTGTTTCCATTTCCATACATTCAATTACTATTTTCTTTAAATTTAAAATCTCACTTTGCCATTGCTCTTCCTATAACCATCCATAGGGATATTGCATTACTCATCCTATCATTTATTTTGCTTTTTCATAGTTTTTTTAAATGCAGTGCAATATTTTTTGACATATAATCTTTCACTTTCTTGGTTATTTACTGAAAAAAGTTTATTTGGGATCTGAGGTAGAAGACTAGAAACTAATACTCAGAAAACACTTAATTAATGGTCATTGGACTACTGGAGTGAGCCAACAATATGGGCTTTATTTGTGATAGCCACTTGAATCAATATGTTTTCATCCCCATACTCTCCATCTTTACATTATGATGCATTTTATATAGTACAGTAGCAATCTTAATGAGGGTCACTTAGTTTGTGGCACTTGGATTTTACAATCTTGGATTACATGTATCCAATAAGATAAATTGACCAGAAAGGAGAAAATACTATAGATTATAGAGTATTTTTAAGTTAAAAAAAAATCTCAACAAACATTTATGTTTTTGTTTCAGACTTTAATGGCAGGCTTTCACAATGCCAAAGTGTACATTACAGTGGCCTATACTGTATACAGTTACAGTACTTACCAGTCTTACTAAACATACTAATCTTTATTAGCACTTTAACTTGCAATAATATACAAAAGCGTACTCCATTTCATTCTCATATATTTACATTTAATTCTAAGTATTTTTGTTTTGTTTTGCATTTTCCAACCATATTTAAATTTTTTCTTGTAATTTTTAAAATAGTTTTTTAATGCAGTTCTATAATGCTTGTTTTTTAGGAATTACATCTGAAACAATACGAAAGCCTTCTGATATAACACAAGAACAACTACTAAAAGAAATCCAGGCACTAAATGATAACCCAGAGGTTGATGGGATACTTGTGCAGCTACCTGTTCCGCAACATATAAATGAACGTCTAGTATGCGACTCTGTGAGGCCGGACAAGGATGTGGATGGATTCCATATGATAAACATTGGACGTTTATGCCTTGATTTACCCACTATGATTCCAGCCACACCGTACGGGGTTATGGAACTCATCAGAAGATATGGTAGTTTTTATACAAATATTTGTACCATGATTGAAACAAACTTTTTATTTTTTTTTTATTTTGTTTGTGGAAAGATATAAAAATGACAGTGATTCATTAAAATAGTGATACTGTACTGTAGTCCTGCTTTCACATTTTTGTTCATCCTATCCCTTTCTCAAGCTGAAACCAGCCTATTCCCCTCGTACTAACTGTGTATGTAATTGTCATGTAATAATTAAAACATGTATGTATTCGTTATGACAGTCTTGTTCATTGAGTGTAAATATATAAATAATAAGTTTACAATTATAATAGTATTGCAGTGATATAAATTTTATATGATAAGAAAATAAGATAAAAATGATTTTTTAATCTTTCATTGAAATTTTCTTTTTATTTCATTTATTTATTCAAAACCATAATTTACATGATAAAAAATGTTTAAGGATAGTTAGAGAAAAAATTCCATGTAGTGCCAACTGCCCCTTTAACAGAGAGACACAAAATAAACTAAATACAAGTTAACAATTTGAAAATAAAGTATATAAATGACTAAAATAAAATTTAAAATAAAAAAATATATAACATAGTGAATACAATAACATAAAATCAAGATATGAAAATTTAGGGGAAAAAAAGGAGATAAAAATATATAAAAAGAAATAAAAGACTATCAATCAACAATTTCAGATAAAATATAATACAAAAAATATTGCACAATATTAAAACCAGTGTCCCACCTCACAGCAACATTAGCAAACAATGAAAAAAAAAAGTAGAACAATGTGAATGAGAAGGTATGTTGTGCTCATAGTACTGTAGGTTTTTATAATCTCTGAGTATTTAAAAAATTGTTCTACTAATATACTGTAGGTCAGCATGCAATTTATTATTCCATATGTTAGCTGTGTAATACCTAACCCAACTCAGGGCTTGCCCTAACTTTTTTTGGTAACTAGACCACTGGGCTAGTTTACTAGAGATTTTACTAGCCCACAGACTATTTTACTAGCCCACAAACAGGAAAAAATTTTGTTTCAAAATATTTATTAGCGACAATTAAATGTGAAGGTTGATTTGCAATTTCATAATTTCTGTAGCATTGCTGTTTGAGCTACCCCCTCAAATTAGTGTTGAATAAATAAATAAAAAATCTCCCATGCTGCAAAATCAACTATGGTTATAACACTAACAGGGACAGATGAGCATGCTTTGCATCTCCCTGGTTATAATGTCGGCATTGTAATATTTAACAAAGGGCCCAGATATCAATCAAACCAATGCATCTGTTAAATCTTCAGGTCTCAAGTCACTCACCCCCAATGGCAATAAATCTTGCTTATAGGCTAGACTAGGCTACCTTGGCCTAGGCCTAAACAAGACCCAGGGCCTAGGCTAGCCTAGCTTCCTATAGCAATGAATTACTTAATTATTAAAAGTTGAACATTTTATAAATACTGTATCATTATGAGAAAATAATATGAATACAAGGTAGTACATTAAATTAAATGTACCTAAATTAACCCGATTCAACGATCAAACGATCTTCTGTTGAGAGAGAGATAACTGCCATCCTGTAGTGGTTGGTGAATGATTTGGGGATCATCTTAATAATTCAACATTCGCGCATGTGGAGAGCTGAACGCTAGCTAGAGTGTTCTCTCTGGGCTGCGGTACCTCTTGTGCAGAGATTGTCTCGAAAGTTCCGTTTTTTTTGTTTTTTTTGTTTTTTTTTGTAAATGTTTTTCTTGCTAATTCTCCACTAGACAACCGGGCAACATGAGGAGTAAATAGGCTAGCCCGGAGCGGTTTTTACTAGACATTGTACGTCGGGCTAGTACTAAATCGAGCCCTGTAACTCAATCTTCCATATGGTATTATTACCAGTCAAGTACTTCCTATGAAACCTCATATATTTAGAGTCATTTAATAATCAGGACATTAATACTGTTAATCTTGTGTTTTACAGGTATCAACCTTTTTGGAAAAAATGCTGTCGTATGCGGGAGATCAAAAAATGTTGGCGGTCCAATTGCCATGATGCTACAGTCTGATGGAGAACATTGTAAATTGGTTTTTGAAAATGTGACTTTTTGAACTATGGATTTCCTCAGAGGAGGAAATTTTTATATCTGTTTAGTCATTGAATCATATACACTATAATAATAATAATATGTTATATTTATATAGCGCTTAATGCCAACAAGGCCTCTAGGCGCTTCACATTACTACCCCCAGTCATTGGATTAAACGCCTATGGAACACAAATTGTTCCATATAGTTGCAGCAGCTACATCAGCGCATTTTTGCATTTAACATTTTTTTGATGTGTCGACCTTTATGCATTCAAAAAAAAAAAAAAACTTTTTTCAAAAAACTTTTATTTGTCCAAATTATATAAAACATACAATTGGAAATTTGTCCTAAAAATGAGTAAGGCACAATCTAGGTAGGGAGAAGAATTTGAATATAATTCAACTGTATCCTGGAGTAAATGCTAAACATTAATGCATTAAATATACAAATATTGACTGCTCATGAGGGGAATGCCCGAGGGAAGATAGGCTACGGTGTCCACATCACCGAGGGCCTAGATTGCACCGTTCCCCTAGAGTAGTCAATATTTGTTTTATATACCTCATACATAGGCCTAAAAAAGTGCTTCGTAGCCAAGCCTATAGGCCTACTAGCTAGGGCCTAGGCAATCAAAGAGTGTGTCTAGCTCTTTGCTCATTTCCTCAATTTCAACAGCACCCATCGTCTTGCAACAAATATTGCAAGACATTGACAAGATATATTTAATTTGTCTTGGTGCTTTTGCTATCGGCTTGGTCAAGAAGTATAGGCTATAGATGCTATTCCTTCTTCATTAAGGAGTTCGAACCGACAGCCTCTATTATTGTTTGTCTACTCGCTGATCCGTGGCGTGGTAAAGAGAAAATCTCTTTCGTCGTAGATATCGCAGTCCCCCTACCATCAGCACGATGGTGGGGCCTAGAGTTTGCACTATGCAACAGGGCAAAAAAGTTCTATTTTTCAGGGGAATAGTACTTTCTATTGCCTGCTTCTTAACCAATCATATGCCTAGAATCTATGTATGAGGTTTATAAGTATATACTTTACAGTATTGGAGATGTACCTTGGTGGTTAAGATGCCTGCCTTCCAATCCATGGGTTCTGGGTTTATATCCTGTGAGAACACAGAATATTTTCTCATGACTAAAAATATCTTTACTGCCTCAGCCTCATAATGAGGTTTAGTTTGTAAAGCATCTAATTTATTTAAAATTTAAGTGGGTCCCTCATTCAATATTCGCTGACTCGGATTGGCTGCAAGGGTCACACAATACAATTAAAAAATTCAATTTAAAAAAAATTTGCATCTGTAGGGTTATTTATAATGTAGATGTAGATATAAATAAACATATTGAAATGTAATGAAAATTAATGTTTAAAGTTTCTTTTTCAATTATTTTGTTATTAGCATCTAAGATGGGTAAAGATGCGACCACAACTGTGTGTCATCGCTACACACCTCCCGTCGAGCTTGCTAAGTACACAAAAACAGCTGACATCATCATAACAGCTGTTGGCTGCCCTAAACTCATCAAGTCTAATATGATCAAAGAGGGCGCTGTCCTAATTGATGTAGGCATTACTCGTACCATAGATCCAAGCACAAAAAAGTTCAGATTAGTTGGTGATGTAGACTTTGAAGGCAAGTTATAAATCATAGATTGACTGAAAGGTCTTGAGTTTCTTCAATATTTTATGTTAATTTTTAAAGATTTATTGTAATTATAGGGTTTATTTTTTAGAAATATATTTAATGTGAATATAAAAATTCAGTAATAATACAGTACAGTATTGTACTGTACTGTATTATATAAACAATATGGTAGTACAGTACAGTACAATAAGGTAATACAGCAGTGGCTTATCAAAGGGGGAGGGGGCGCACCCCCTTTGGGCCCCCCCCCCCCCCAGTTGCTCCCTGTTCGAAAACTTTGAACCAAAAAAAATTAGGCTAGACTTATGCTCAAGAAAAAGGGTTAATGTTTTCTCAACTTCCCTTTATTGACGTTCATCAAAACACCATATTATGTATTTATTCGTCCTTCATTTCACAGCAACTAATAAAAATAATAATAATAATCAATATTTATAAAAATGGTCGCTGTCACACATAATAAAAAACACACACATAAATTATTCTAAAACTGTTTGTATGATTCGATGCCTTGAAAGGTCTAGCATAGTAATTTTCCTGGTGCATGCAGAATTGTTGATGTAAGCCTAAATAAAACTATCTATTGTTAAAACAATCCGGTAATTTTAATTAAAGCAAGAAATCGTAATCGACAATAAAAGTTTTGTCTTGTTTATTATGGTATTATCTTACTTCTTAAATACTGCATTCAAGAGATATACTTTAACATATCTGTCACGGTTAACGTGTATTCGGGAATCTAAGAAGCAATATTTTTCAGTGGGCGTGGCCACCGAAAATAAATTCCAAGCCCCCTCATATTTTGGTCGCGCCCCCCCATCCCCCAATTTTAATACTGCTAGATACGCCACTGTAATACAGCACTAAAAATAGATATTTAATGAAATTGAAAAACATTTTGATTAATTTATATGAACAGAATTAATTTATTAGTATATGTAGCTAAACATGTAATGTTTGATGTTAGTTCATATTAGTTGGTGATTAGTTGTTATAGCATTCAATTTTTTTTTATTAATTTACCAAGACTTGTTGCTTTGTTGATTTTAGAGGTGTCAAAGAAAGCTGGATATATTACCCCAGTCCCTGGAGGAGTTGGGCCAATGACTGTCGCAATGCTAATGAAGAATACATTAAAAGCTGCAAGGAAGGACATCAGCTACACATAGAAGGCAGTATAAGTTGCTGAAAACATCAGCTGCATGTAGAAGACAGTGGAATTTGCCAAAGATATCAGCTAATCATAGAGGACAGTATATGATGAGAGCCAAAGATGTCAACTACTCATTAAAGGTTGAACTGACACCCCTGCTAGTCAAGCTGGATATATTGCTGCAAGATATCAAAGATTGTGTGTGAAGAATTAAGCATCCCTCCAATCATTGCCTACAATGATGTACCAAATGGTCACATAATTTGCATCTGTAATTTGATTGGTCAACATCAATTGCATTTATGATATCAAGATGATACTGGTTACTAATAGACTAGCAGTAAGGTACAGGTCCATCTACTGCAACAAATATTTAATTAAAACGTATAGGTAGCTTACTTTAATTTAGATTACCATTATTTTTTTATTGGTAATTATGTGGTACTTAATGGTAAAAATAAACTGAAAAACTTTTTATAAAATTTTAATTTTGTACAATAAATATCAAAAATGTGTTTATAATTTTTACAGTTTTAACTAAACAAAATTTGCAAACAAATACTTGGTTACTAGATTAATGCTAGTGGTCCGTTTCCACTGTAGTAGCAATAATGCTATGCAGGTGTGATTCTGTGCTTTTTATGACATGATGTGCTCTGCCCCTTTACTGTGGCCAAAAACTGACTAAGAGAAACTGAGATAATAAAAGAAAATGTAAAAATTAATTGAAAGTCTGTTTAAATTGCCTAATCTCTTTCGGATCAATCAAACTCAACCAAAAAGGCCATCTTGCTTTTCATTTTCCAATACTGATGGTGATACAGTGATAAGAGTGTTGATATGAGTGTTTCTGGTTGGGTCTGAGAATACATGAGGGAGGGGAAGCTGACTGTTTGGAGTTACAGTGAATTTTTACTTAAGCTGCTCCTGACCATTGTAATCATGCTTGATTTTGTATAGTACTACTACACAAATACAGTAAATAAATGAAATGAAATGGCCATTGCTGTCGGGTCGTGAAGTTCATGCTGATGGTAATTTTCTGATGGGCCATTTAAGCGAGCAGCTTCTCCAACTCCTGTTTGAGTGGTTATAAATTGGACCCACAAGTTTTTTATGAGTCACAGAAGTTTTTTGGAAAGCAGAATGGCCTCCTACACTTCCGCAGCATTCAAAAATTTCCCAGGAACTAACTCGTCTCTTGCAAATTCATGGTATAGGTATATATATATATATATATATTAGGTGTTGAGAAAGCTGATTTAACCTGGCTTCCCCCATGGTGGAACCCTGTGGACCCCAGTTGAGAACCAAGGATATACATTCACTTAAATTCTGGGATTTCATAAACCTCGAGTTCATAAACTTGCTGCGAGTGTATAAACTTGCTGCGAGTGTAAACTAAACAGAACTAAAGAAATGTATGGTGTACATGAAAGCTTGTGTCTCAATTTATACACAACCTAGTAGTCTATAAAGTGCTGCTACTCATTAACACAAACCAAAAATTTGTCAACTTATTTATTTTATTATATGTTTCAGTGGCAAGCAATTGATCGTGTAATTTAATCATACAATCACCTAATCAGCATATTAAATTAGTTAAACGATTAGGATGCACAGCCATTACTGGTCTCAGGATATGTACTTCTTGGCAGTGTTTAACTATTAGTACTTGAGTAAGTTTGTCTTTTGTATTGCAGTGGTAGTGTTAATATCAGTGATGGTTTGGTGATAATTTGTAACCTGTTATTTTTTTTAACAGAACCCAAAGATACAATCAGGAATTTAAAAAAAAAAACCTCGAAAAAAGTGGACAAAATATATTTAAATAATATGTTGCATTTTGATGATATATGTACTATGTACATATATGCTCATATGTGTATAATGACATACTATACAGTTATTATATAACTATGTATAGCTTTGTCTTATTTAATAAGAATTCTAACTGCAATGTATTCGATGTTCAAAATATGCAGAACTGTGTGTGTATACTTATACACACGCTATATACTATATATAATATACTTATGTACAAAAACCGAAAGGTCCACTGACTAATCTTAGATAAGATAGTATAATACATACTTCAAGTATCGAAATGCATGCCATCCTGTCCGGATTCAATATTTCAACATTAATTATGTCATCATCAGGAATGAGTCATAATATAATAATTTATTATATATAGTATAGGGCTTAGATCACAGGTGTTCATTCAAAATTCACTTTGGCCCTCTGACCAATTTTTATTATAGATTTAATGAAGATGAACCAAGATTCAGCTATCATTTCCCACAGCTCTGTTTTACAATATTTTTGGTTTTGACTTTTATTGTGTGTCTCTCTCTCAGGGGCAACTGATTCTTTTCTAGTATTGTCATTTTTTGCTCCAGTTGTCCCTGTCCATTGTTGTCAGAATTTTTTTCTATGTTTTTTATCATTGAATATTCCATATATAAAAATTATAGTCTGAAATTGGCATTGTGTTTAATTTGAATACAGAACAATGTTTCAGTCATTTTCCTGATTGCCCTAAATACTATTTTTTATTAAATTGTTGACATAGATGCTATCTTTGTACTTTATAATTTCATTATATATTAAATTTTCCTATGCAGCTATATATTTGATATCAATAATACAATGTGTGCTGTTGAGATAGAGTGTAGAGGTCGGCAAGTTTGATTTAGATATTGCATATACTGTAGTAATCTTGTAGATTTTGAATGTTACCTCATTTGTAGAAACTATAAACCACAATATAACCATGTTATAATATACGAAAATATACGCTATATAGTAGAATCAGATATATTCTAATAAGTTAAATATATACATGTATGCTGTATGAGTGTTGGTTCCATGTGTCTCTATTATGCAAACTGGGAACACTTACATTGAGGAAGAGCACAGGAATTTTTGAAAGGTCCACTGAAAAATCTCAGATAAGATAGTATAATACATACTCCAAATATCGAAATAAATTTTATGTTTATGTCTATATTGTATAATCATAATTGATAATATACACCTGTTGGAAAATATATACATATATGTAATATATATATATATATATATAATATATATATATATAATATAAATCATCAAAGGTACATATAGAGTGTTTAA